TTCACAATCAAGTTTTAATTAACTTCAGGTGACATCTGTCACCTCACAGTAGAATGTAAGTTCCTGGCATGACGCTTTTGACTGACAAGCATCTATTTCCAAGCCACCCATCCTGAGTAAACATGCCAGCTGCATGACACAGGCAGTAGGAAGACAACCAGATAAGGAACTAGGCCGTCTCCACCCACCCAAGAAGGTCACTTTCAGAAACTTGGGTAACCTACATAACTGCCTGCCTGAGTGACCCTGTTTATCTTTTCCCAAGCCCTACTTCCAGCTCATATGCTTTAAATTAGCCAATAGAAGGTAAACCCTTGAAACTTGATACCTGTTCTTATTCTTTCCTGCCCCCTCAACTCTGTCACCCCCAGGGGTGCTTGCACATCTCTCTGATGGTTTCTTGCACAAGTGCATTTTGCAATCATATTAAGAACCACAAGAGCCAACCCTGCCATAAATGGGGGCCCTTGTGGGGGGAAATATGTGTGGAACTTGCGACTAGTGATGTGTACCCATTCCTAACTGGGCACACTGCCATCAACAGGTTTGGGACCTGGGGAAAACACAGTTACCTGTTTGTTACCTGGTGGAAACACTTTATATCTACTCTTTTAGCAAACTCCAATTATACAACACAGCATTATCACACAACACAGTACTGTTAACTATAATCATTATGCTGTACATTAGATCCCCAGAACTTAATCAAACTTTCTGCTGAAAATGTGTCCTTTTACCAACTTCGTCCCAATTCCCATACCTTTGAACTTCTGGCAACAACAGTTCGGCTTTCTGCTTCTGTAAGTTTGACTTTTTAAATATTCCACATATAAGTGAGATCACACAGTATCTGTCTTTCTGTGTCAGGCTTAAATCTCTTAATATAGATCCTCACATTTTCTTTATTCATCTGTTCATGAATACTTTTTTTTCCCCCCTCTCTCTTAGAATTAAGCATATATTTTGAATAATGCCACAGTGAACACAGATGCAAATCTCTTCATCATATTGATTTTACTGCTTTTAGCTATATACCCAGAAATGGGGTTGCTGGATGAATTGGTAGTTCTATTCTGAACATTATTAGGAACTTCCATATGTTTTCATAATGGTTGTGCCCAGTTATGTTTCCACCAACAGTGCACAAGGGTTCTCTTTTCTCCATACCTTCACCTACTTGTTACCTCTTGCCTTTTTACTAATAGTCATCCTCACAGGTGTGAGGTGAATCTCATTGCAGTACTGCTATGCACTTCCTTGACGATTAGTACTGTTGAGTATCTTTTTACATCCTGTTGGCCATTTCTAGGTCTTATTTGGAAAAATGTCCTTTCAGCTGCTTTGCCCATTTTTTTAATAAGGCTCTTTTTGCTATTCAGTTGTCTGAGTCCCTTGTATATTTTAGAAAATACCCCCTTAGCAGACAAATGGTTTGCCAATGTTTTCTCCCATTGATCTTCTTTATTGTCTCCTTTGCTGGGCAGAGCTTTTCAGTCTGATCAAGTTGCATCTGTTTATTTTTGCTTTTGTTACCTGTGGTTTTGATGTCATATCCAAAGTCATTGCCAAGACCAATGTCAAGATTTTCCCTGTGTTTTCTTCTGAAGGTTCTATGATTTCATGTCTTAAATGTAAGTATTTAAACCATTTCAAGTTAATTTTTTGTGTAATGTTTAGGATAAGGGTCCAGTTTCATTCTTTTGCATGTGGATACTCAGCTTTCCTGACATCATTTATTGAAGAGATTATGTTTTCCCCACTGTGTATTTCTGACACCCTTGTCAAATATCAGTTGACGATATACAAATGGGTTTATTTTGGGGCTCTCCATTTTGTTCCACTGGTTTATTCTTATGTCAGCACCATACTGTTTTGATTATAATATAGTTTGAAATGGAAGTGTGATATTCTTCCTAGTCAACATAGTCTTTGGGATTTTTTGTGGTTCCCTATGAATTTTAGATTTTTCTATTTCTATAAAAGATGCCATTGGAATTTTACTAAGGATTTGCATAGGGATTACACTGAATCCAACAGCTATAATTCTAAATAGAAGATAATTACAGAAGTTAAAAACCGTAAGGTAGATTGAAGTGGAAGAAGAAGAAATCTGCGTGACTGAAGGCTGAAATAAGGTCTGGACTCGCTCACTACCACCGCCTGTGTACTTAAGAGTGGAAACTATTTAGCAAATTCGAGAGTTTGCTGGGACAAGGGCAATCTTACACGTGTCTGTCTTAAAAAGGGAGACATAGGAAGTCTGATGACGACGACATTACCTAACAATAAACAATGTAAGTGCAACAGATTCGTTTCAAGCACAGATGTGTTTTCACCTAAGTGCTGGCAAAGAGACAATTCATAGCAAGTCCTCAAAAATCACTGAATAAGTGAAATTGGGAAAAATGGCTCAAGTTCCATTAAGGTTGGTCTCTGATGTTAAAGTCGATTTAAAATAACACAAGATTCTCGAACTAGAACCAGAACAGTTTTGAGAAGCTGATCTACAGACCGTATGTGAGAATTAAGACAAGAGGTCAAGAGCCAGGGATGTGTTCACAGCGAGTTGATATATAAAGAGTTGGAGCTATGGCTTCAGGAGGGAAAAGCAAAGAGAACCAAATTCCATACTAACTAGACAGCCAAAGAGTACCTGGTGTGTGTGTGCATGAAGGTGATTTATTTCCGAAATTTTGTAATAACTTTATTGTGTCTTGAACATATGTTTCAGTTAGCAACGAAAAATAGGGTATAGATAAAAATAGGCATCACTTCTGAACTATCAATTATTCCTTCGAATAAAAAATTTAACACAGCCACGGATATTCATGAATATGGGAAGAAATTCTACTCACAATGGAAACTCTCCCTCCTTCACTATTCAATAGGATTAAGGCTTCAAAGGAATACCGTCTAAAAATCATCAGGTAACAATTCTGAGGATGGACCAAAGGCAGCTACTGAAATTGGAACAAAATGTAGTAAAAATGTTTTGAACTTGTATGTTTCACTATTGCTCAGGTGCAATGCCAAGTGCACATGCTGACCCACACTCGTGATCAGTTTGGAATGTCAGTACACACATTTCTGCAAATAAAAAATTCAAAGCACGATTGCTGTGGACTGAATGTTTGTGTTCCCTAAAATGCTTACGTTGAAGCTCCAGCTCCACCCCACCTCCCTTCCCCCACTGTGATGGTATGTGGAGACAGAGCTGTCAGAGCAGCAGTGAGGAGCAACTTCCAAGCCAGACAACTGATCGTAGAAGGTAGAGCTTTTCAAACTCCACCCTGAGTGGGGACTGATAGGAAACGGGCTTTCGGCAGTTGAACTGCTGGCACTTGGGCCACTGTACAGTGAGGGCATTTGGGAGTTAAACTGCTGGTAAGGGGGGGTGTCTGTGGAGAAGCTGCTGGCTTGCCACATGCAGGTTCAGTTTGGACCTTGGTCTCTGCACAGCAGATGCCATCTGGGTGCATCTGGCCATGTGCCAGCCTGTGAATGCTGTCTCTCTCTGACTCTCTCTTCCTGTGCAAACAGATCTTGTTATTGTTGTTTCACACTGTGTGTTTTTGGGTAGTGTCCTGCAATCAATAGCGAGTGGACAAGGATCCAGCACCCACCAACTGAGTCAACGTTGGTTCCCCTGGGTTTACACTGTTTCAAAGCCTTTGGCAGATAATTATGGTTAGATGAAATCACAAGGGTAGGGCCCCTCACGACAAGATAAGAGCCCTTCTAAAGAAGAGACACCAGGAAGCTTAATGACTTGTTTTCTCTGTCATGTGAGGACATAAAGAGAAGGTGGCTGTCTGCAAGCCAGGAAAAGGATTCTCCCTACCTCCTGACTTAGTGAACCCCTGATATTGGGCAGAGCCTCCAGACCATGAGAAAATAAGTTCTTGTTACTTAAGCCACCTGGTCTATTGTTTTTGTAATGTTTTATTAATACAATGATAAAAAGTAAAATATAAATATTAATTTTTAAAAAAGATCAATATTTGCTTTTTATTTTTTATTGTTTAGAATGGTTATAGATTTACAGAAAATTTGAACAGATTAGTAGAGAGAGTTCCCCTATCATCTGCTCCTTTCTCCCTCCCTACCTGCATATAGTTTTCCCTAGCCTTGGAAGCTCAGGCCATGGAGGAGGCACACTAGAATCAGGAGTAAACTAGGAATGAAGCCGCAGCTACTTCTTTCCAACTGCAAATTAACTAATGGGCAACCCCTTCCTCCAGTACAAATGACCCTTCAATGGGATGTCTACAGAAGTAGTTAAGCTATATTTTTCTGTTTCCTCTCATTTTTCATTTCTTAGAAGAATGGACATGCTAGAATACCCATAAGTTAAAAGCAGGTATTCTGTATTTCTATGGTTCGACTCTCTCCACTAAAAGCCTTCCTTCTGGCAGGGCACCACACGGAGTCCTGACTTCCTCTCCAGCTTTCAAGGTTCCTCCCAACCTGGCCCTGCCTACCAGTAGCATACTTGCTGACTATTCTCAACTCTGCAGCTCCCCTACAGCCCTAAATACCACCAAAATCTACTCAACTGTCAAAACCCATTTACTCCACAAAATTTTTCAAACCCACACTCCCCTTACTCCTAGGTAGCCACATGGTCAGTAGATCAGAGTTACTCACTAAATCTGTAAATATGAGTGAAAATTCTCCAGCGTAAGGACCATGACTTACAATGCGTCCCCCCACCATTCCTCTTAGTACAATCCTGGACATACAGAACATGATCAATACATCGATGTTGATTACTCATTGGTAAACAGAGAAGACAAGTCCTAGACAGATTGTTCAGTCTGCCCAAAACTTACAGAAAATTACTTGCAGAAGAGTTGAGTGATTCTATAAGTTCGTAAATTACCAAATTGTGGCACCACGGGCTAGCCCAATGTCACAAGCAGAGATTTCCACTGCTGTAGCTCTTAGGCCTTCCAGAAACCTACCATTCTGAAGGAAAGCAGATGTTAATAAACACATACCCTCTGAGGTTGGAAGAATCTTCTTGTCTTTGGGTAACATGGCATGCCCAGCATGACTGATGGCCCAAATTGGAAAGCGTTTATTTGTTACAGAGTACAAGGCCTTGATGAATGGCACATAGAAGGCACAAAAACCTGGGTTACCTAAGAAAAGAAACAAAGACCCAAGGTTAAAAGAAACAAAGACCCAAGACTATAAAATCAGCCAAGACAATGTGTAGACTGGTAAAGAAGGGCCTCCTTCTCCTCACACTTTCCTCCAAAAATCTAGTAACATTTTCAGGTATATGTCAATTTTAATATCCTTCATACTTTAAGTCTAGGAATGTGCAGAAAATCTCTGCTCTTGCTTTGTTCTCCAGCTGTTTCCAGTAAATTCTTCTTGTCTGTCCCTCAACTTAGTGAATAGAAGCACCAATCATAAACCAAATACTCAAGTCTCTCTTGAGCATTCTCCCTGTTCTTCACGTTCAATTCACCAATAACTTGTTAACTTCGCTCCCAAAATCCATTTCAGTTCTGTTCTCTATTCTTCACTAGTTTGTCTCTTCCCACTTTCTGCCACAGCCTTCTACCTTTTCTTGTTCCCTTGGAAGCCACTCTTCAGAGAACCCAGAGATGTCTTCATGCCTCAGATCAAATCATAGCAGCACCTTTGTAAACTCCTTTGGGGGCTTCCACTTTCATCCAAATAGTCTAAAATCTTTAAAACTGCTTTTTTAAGGCCCTCCAAATTTGACGACTCTCAATTATGAAGCTGCACAAAAGTGAAGCAGTGTGAGACTCATTCACAAAAAGAACTTTCTGGAGTCTACTAAGAGTGCCTTTATCATTTATCACAAGTATTTATATAAACATGTATAGTTCGATCTTTTGGAGAAAAGACCATCAACTATTATATGGAGATTTTTCTTACGTATTTGAGGAATGCACAATCCTTAATATACAAAAAATATTGTAGACATGGGTTTGCTGAAGAGAAGCAGAATGGATGCATAATTCTTTTTCAAAGAATCAATCTGATATGTCTTTAAGGGGAAAAGACAGTGAAATGGATTCTCAGATCATGCCTTCAAAACTACCAGTTTCTCTCCACCTCCAGCTATTTCTCCAATCAATTTATCTATTTTTTCATGCTAGGAACGTTTCTCCTCTTTGCAATTACATGACATGGTTTTGTTGCACTGATATCATCTCTGCCATCCTTGCCAAATTTCACAGCTTTCTTCTTTTCCTTCACCCCTCCATTTGCTACAGAGGTAATGTAGCAAAGTGGTTAGGGAACCAGACTGCCTGGATTGGAATCTTGGCTTTGTCACTTATCAAGTGTGTAATTTCTGGAAGTTAGTGAACCTACCTGGACCTTGGCTTCCTTGTCCATAAAATGGGGATAATACATAGTACCTGAGAACTAAGTGAATTAATTTATATAAAGTACTTAAACACTGCCATATAAATGTTAGCTATTGGAACCTGTCGTCAATGTCTAGCCCTGATGGTAATATGTGGTAGCCTTCTTTCTTCCACACTGTGTTTTTGCTTCTGTTGTCTTATGACTTAGTGATGCAAGTTCCAATTCCTTTTTGTGCTGGTGCTAGTGTTAATTTTGCTGATAGGATTAAAATGTCCTCAAATGTGGTATGATGTACTTTGGTCAGCGGACTGGCCACTGTGCAACTAGAGACAAGGGAGGAGGAATGAATCAGCACCGGGTTAGAACATCTGTGGCAGCTGTGGGTGACACTGCTTTGTATTTTATATGTATATTTTCAATAAATTTGGAATATTTTTGAGTATTGAGTATAAAGTAGCAATCTAACTTTCCAAGTTATTAGTCAACTGTCCCAAGATTTATTATACAATTCATTCTTTCTGCATTGATTTGAAATGTCTTCCCTCTAATACTAAATTCTGACATTTGCCTGCTACTTTTGATTACAGATAATTCTTTATTTTTCCCTTTTACCCTCTGCCAGCACTGTATTTATTATCTTTGTTACTATATTGTATTATATTAGGTTTTTTTTTTTTTTTTAATGCTTCAATCACTGGTAGGGCAAATCCCTTTTTTTCCCCACTAAATTTTCTAGGCTGGTTTCATAACCATCAGAATTATTTTTACCAGTTTCACTTCTTAAAAATCCCTTTGGAATTCTGGTTGAAATTTCATCTCACTTATACATGAATTTAGCAAGACTGAATAGCACAATAATAATAGCACTTTGAAATCAGAAATAGCTGTAAGTATGTGGTTTCCTTATCCTGACTTTTGAACTTACCAGTAATAATGAAAATCAGCAACTTAGGCCTGGTGGCACTTTGGTCATTGATGAGGTCAGTCCAGGGCCCACATTTTAAAACCTGGGTTTCAACTCCACAACATAGAATGAATTCTTCATGCAGAGGAATTTCTTCCTTTACTTCTGAGTCCATTTCTAATTATAGGGAAAAACAACATAGAGAGTCAATAAAATGTAAAACCTTGAGAATATTACAATATTCAAGAATAAAAAAGGGCAAATTTAATATACCTATGCAGAAATACCAACAAGGAGATACAGGTGATAGGAGGCTATTTAGCTGTTCTGAATTATAGGATTGCAAAAATAAAACAAGCCACAAGAGTAAGGAGAAACAGACACACATCTTTGGCAAAATAAAAGACTGGAAAAGGGGCCTGAATCAAGATCAGGCCAACCTTTCCTACAACCCTTCTCTCTAGTCTAAACTGAAGTAACCAATTTCTGCTTTCCCGGTGAGACAAGTGCGTCTCCCTTCACCTGGTGGAGAGTGGCGAGAGTGCCAAGTTCATGGCTTGCCCTTGTCCTCTCCCACGCAGAACTGCAAGGACAAGAGCTCCATTATGGTCTATGTTTTTCCTCTTATTAGTCCGCTTATCCAAAACTCTGCAAGGATATTTAACACATTATAAAAGCAGTATGCCATTGCAGATTATATGCTATTAAATTATGAAATGGGCAGGAGGGGAGAAAGGATATGAGATAATAATCATGATATATGCAAACATGCAGTCCCAAATTATTTTTATCCCTCTCATCTCTGTCTCTGCCTTCCTTAGGCCCCTCAACAAGCCCATGTCAGACTTCTGGAGCCTCTTTGTCCTCCTCTCTGCTGTCCTCCATGCATTCAGAGTCCTCCAGGGCCCAAATACTCAGCACCCTTACAGCTCTTTCTCCTCCTCCTGCTTTGTAAGGGCCAGCACTCTAGTCTGTCTTATCTATCCATGTCCCCAATGTCCTGAGGCTTTTCTGCTACCAGGCCTTTGTGCATGTTTATTCGCATCCACTTTCAGCCCCTCAGCTCCAAATTCCATCCTTCATTTTCTCCTCTGGAGAAATATTTTTCCTCTGCCAGTTGACTTAATGGTAAGCTTTAGCAGAGCGCTCTGAAGAGACACTGCAGGAAAAGGATTTTCTTTCCTGGTTTCAATATACTCTGTCAGCAGGTTCCTTGAATGCTTTTTTCCCTCTTTCCTCTGCTATCAGGTAATCATAAGGTCCCTCTAGTGCAGTGAATTCCAGTTGGAGACAATTCTATCCCCAGAAGACATATGTCACTAACTGGAGACTTTTCACAGTCTCAGTTGGGGGAGGGGGTACTACTAGTGTGTCAATAGTGCTAAGGTGGAAAAACTGCTCTGGCTCTGGGTGCCATCAGAGTCTACTCTCTACACCATTTGGCTGGCTGCCATGGGCTCACTTTCTCCAGGTGCCCATTCAGGCAAAGCAGCAATGTAGCAAGAGTCCTAGAGCACACAGACTTGTGCCCCAGATCAGGCAGCTGCTCCCTGAATGCCCTCCTCAGCCCATGCACAGGGTGGAGCCACTGTCAACAGCAGCAGACCTTTGTCCCATACAACAGCCTGGAACTACCCTGCCCACTGGAGCTTTAAGCTTGCTGAGGGAGGCCTCACCAACTCCCCATTTCAGCAGTGCCCAGACTTCCTCTGTACCCACCAGCCTCAACTCACCTGTGTCCTGAGGGTTGTGACTGTGGCCCTCCCAACACTGATACCTCCTGTCTGTGGCAGCACCCCAACTAGCCCTACAGACCCTCCCAACAGTCTTAGCTCACCTGTTGAGACAGTGACTACTGGCCACCTTTAGTCCAGGCAACCCAGCAAATTCCTGTACCACCGAAAGGACTGGACCACCCCTTCTTCACTGAGATCTAAACTCTGTTCCCAGTTTGCCCTCCCTAGGGCACTTTCCCTCTGCCCTAGGGCACTGTTTGGAGTTCTTTTTATACAGTAATGTAAAGTTTCTCTCTTACCATACCTTAATAATTTTTTGTTGTTAAAAATAACCATTTACACTCAGGTGGTTTCTGTCTCCTGATTGGATCTGGACTGATAACATCCCTCCTGTGTCAATCCAACTTTCTCTTCTAATCTTTTCTACCTTAGACTCAGCTCAAATCCTATGTCCTACTTGAGACCTTCCCAAGTGTCCAAGTAAGGGAAATCTCGTCTTCTAAATCCATAGCACCTGTCGTTATTGTAAGCCTGCAATGGCATAGGTAGCCAGGTATACCTCATCCAGTCCTGTTTGCCTACTGTTCGTGTCATATCACACTCTCTCACAGCACCACAGTAGTAAGAAATTCAATGCAAACACCACCTGCCCCATGCCAAGTGAACATGAGGTAAAGGTAATGCTGGCTTGGATGGACAGGAATGGGAGACTCCACACATTGATGGTAATAATGAAAATGTCTGTAGAGGCGGAGCAACATGGCGGCGAGGAGACGCTGCGAGTAAGATCTCCCATTAAAAAAAGTTAATAGGGAGGAAAAGCGGCAGGTCCCAGTGAGAACTGAGACAGGGAAGATAAACGGACGACTCCAGCAAACTGCCCGAAGAAGAAAGTTGCCATAAAAGAGGACGAGAAGGGAGGGAAGCGCAGAACCCTGCCCCCCCCGCCCACAGAGGCGGCACTCTCCGACCGGCAGAGAGGAGGAAACAACACACCAAAACGCCCAACAAGAAAAACGGATGCAGCAAGTGGGACTGTGAGTGGAAAGGAACTATTTCAGCCACCACACACCCCGTGAACGGGAGCTGAGGCGAACCCTGCAGGATCCGCCGCGGAGGTGAGCTCCAGGCGCCAGTAAAGAGAGCCCCGCCCACCAGGAGGAGCCCAGCACCAGCACACAGCCCCAGCCCCGCCGCCCGGTAAGCTTGCGCGAAAGTGGCGCTCGGATTGCAGCTGCCCAGGGCCCTGCGCCTGCGACCTAGGCTTGCGGGGAGACGGCGGAGGCCCTCCCTGAGTGAGCAGGAACAAGGTGCCCAGGCAGGGGAGCGGGATTCAAAAGGCGCCATTCCCGCGCCACTGATCTGGGCTATAGCCCGCGTCCTGGAACTGAGGGCTTTGGAACTGAGACCCGGGCGGAGGCCCTCCCTGAGTGAGCAGGAACAAGGCGGCCAGGCAGGGGAGCGGGATTCAAAGGCGCCATTCCCGCGCCACTGATCTGGGCTACAGCCCGCGTCCTGGAACTGAGGGCTTTGGAACTGAGACCCGGGCGGAGGCCCTCCCTGAGTGAGCAGGAACAAGGCGCCCAGGCAGGGGAGCGGGATTCAAAAGGCGCCATTCCCGCGCCACTGATCTGGGCTACAGCCCGCGTCCTGGAACTGAGGGCTTTGGAACTGAGACCCGGGGCACGAAATTAGGGGCGTGGGTTCCCCACGACGGTGGGGCACAAGGCAGACACAGCACCCCAAAGCCGTTGAGGTGTACCCTACCATCCCCGCTCTGCTCCCTGTCCCACGGGGTGGAAAATCAGCTCCCCAAGGGCTCTAGGAGAGATCTCTGGTGCCACCTAGCGACTTGACCCCAGCACAGGCTACTGAAGGAGCTAGTGGCCAGCTGGGGAGTTAGCCCACACCGGGCCCCTTCTGAACAAGTAGTCTGAGCCCACAGGGAGAGTGAGCACCCACAGCCGGGGCAGACCAGGCGCGCAGAATAGTGTGCCTGAGACCAGAAGCGCAGGGAGTGTGTCCCACATCACCATTTTAGAACAGGGACATTTCTTCAGTAAAGACTACCTGCAGAAGGCTTCCTCAGGAGCCAGAGGTGAGCGGGGGAAGTTCGCCCACGCCAGACCCCCTCTGGCCTGCAGTCCAAGCCCAGAGGGGAGCAGGAACCCACCGCCGGGGCAGACCAGGCGCACAGGGGAGTGTGTCCCCACATCGGCATTTTAGAACAGGGACCTTTCTCCAGTAAAGGCTGCTTGAAACTGACAGATGACTCCTGGAAGAACCAGAGGGGAACAGAGAAGCCCACCCAAGATGCCGGCAAGTCCCAACAACACAGTGTCCCAACGCATACGGCAAATTAGAAAACAGACAGTAGGGAGGAGAAGAACCACACGCAACCTAGCAACTCTCCAGAAAAAAGCACACCACAAAAAGAAAGCCAGCCCCCAGATTGCAACGACAATAACTTGGAAGAATTTCTGAGCCTTCCAGAAAGAGAATTTAAAATTGCCGTGATTAAAAAACTGACAGAAGTCATAAAGGAAAACAATGATAAGGGAAAAATAATCAACGATCAGAAGAATGCAATTGAGTCCCTAGAGAGGGAAAACAATGGTCAGAAGAAAGAAATTGAGTCCCTAAAGAGGGAAGTAAAAGAAATGCAGGAGATCAAAGAATTAATGGAAGAACTAAAGAATTCTGGGAAAAGCAATGAAAGCAGAATAGATGAATGGAAGAACGAATAAGTAATCTTGAAGACACAGAATAAAAAGAACCAAAACAGAGAAGGAAAGAGAAGTATGAAGGAAAAAGAACGAAGAAAGACTTCGGGAACTATCGGACTCCATGAGGAAAGGAAATATAAGAGTTATAGGAATACCAGAAGGAGAGGAGAGAGATGTAGGAACAGAGAAAATATTCAAAGAGATAATTGAAGAGAACTTCCCAAATGTGAAGAAGGAGCTGAAATTGATATACAAGAAGCAAGAAGAACACCAAACTTCCACGACGAAAGGAAAAATACAGCAAGACACATAATAGTAAAGCTCCCAAGAATCCAGGACAAGGAAAAAATAATGAAGCTGGCAAGAGGGAAGAAACAGATAACATTCAAAGGAAAACCAATCAGGCTGACATCAGACTTCTCCGAAGAAACACTACGGGCAAGGAGAGAGTGGAGGGACATAGTCAACAGACTCCAAGAAAACAGATGCCAACCAAGAATACTCTATCCCGCAAAGCTCTCCTTCCTCTTTGAAGAAAGAATATGGACCTCCCAGACAAACAGAAACTCCGGAATTTCATTGCAACTAAACCCCCACTCCAAAAAATACTACAAGGAGTTCTAAAGCCAGAACCTCAGAGCGACGAATAACAATGAAAGAAGGCCAAAAAAAAAAAAAAAAGTTATTAAAAGAATAAATAAATAAAATCAAAGGA